ACCACAATTTTCTAGCTGCTTTAGTTTTTTCACAATTTCACTTTAAACATGGACACATTGACAAAAAAAAAAACGTACAAATGCAATGCACTTGTTAACTTCAAGGTGTTTTCTTGAAAAGTTATTTTTGAGTTTTATGAACATTTATTTTGAGCAAGTTGCATGGTCATTTTCCACTGCAATACTCGTATTATATGTAATTAATGGGGCATATTCATAGTCAAAATAACGTCGACACTAAAGTTAGTTATACATTTCTGACTTAATTTCCAATAGAATATCTGTAAAAAGCTGCAACTAAGTTTATTTCTCACGCATGCGCATACGGATGTATGTATGTACTTACATATGCACTACATATGTAAAAATGCCATACTCCAAAATCATATATGCATTGATAACGTTTCCCTCTATGTACTTACATATGTGTACATACATACCTAAACAACCTCGAAAATCATGTATTGATAACGTTCTTACACATGCACATACTATTACATACATATAATAACTTTCTTTCTTATTTGGGGTTGACAAACTTTAACTTCAGAGTCGTCTTTATTTCGTCTACGAATATGCCGCAATAGTTTTGCAGTCAAATGAAATTGCATTTCCCACGCATATGTATGTAAATACATACTCCATTAATTGACAACATAAATACATACATGCATACATGCATATATAGATAAGTATGTACATACATACATACGTATGTGCATATTTCTGCCAAATACTACGCACATGCATACATATGTACAACTCAGTATGATCACGATGAGAATGGTGGCAACCTCATCACCTTCTAAAGAAGCTGAATTCATCCACACACAGTAACACCGAATTATGTATTATAAATCACCTTAATTTGTATATGTAGATGTAAATGAATATAAATGGATTTTAGAGGCGAACGGTTTCAGTTTTCCAACTACGACCGTCACGCCAATAGTATTGTATACCTCCGATATTAATATCGTGTAAATTAAACACAATTGAAGTTATATTGAACTTATACGGTGTATCTTATTTTTATTGGAAAATTCTGTAAATTAAACACAATTGAAGTTATATTGAACTTATACGGTGTATCTTATTTTTATTGGAAAATTCCCGGTAAAAAAAAAAAACTCCTCACAGAAACGCAATTCGATTGGCGTTTGAAAATGCCCTCTTTTCCATCACGGTTTAGTGCTTTACGCTGACTTCTAGGCACAGTGGTGTTTGTTCGCTGTGGGTGGCATAAGCAGATGCGCGTATGGACACATTGGCGTTTTTGGGCACGCGGAGGCACAATAGTAACGGCGCTGGAAATTCGCGCTGGGGTTTTATCTGTGGTCCGATGCAAAAGGGTGTGGTGTGACAACTTGCATACTCGGCAAGTGTTCCTTGAAGGGCATGCCCTGGTGGAGTGAGATCGTGCCAGACAGTTGCCGCAATATTTATGTACTCTAACAGCCTCTTTCCGCTCATCTACAGTCATTCGCCGAAACCACGCACAAGCCTGTAATGGATGGAAACGGCAGCATAGCTGGCATTGGTAAATGTCCGCCATTCTGAAATAAAAAAAAAACCGTATTAGATGGTCGACATACTGGAGATGGGCTTCGAAAAACGTATAGAAAAGTGTGGTAGTTTAGAGTGTTATTGGGGGGGAAGTACACATAGTTTTACGATGGGTCGTGTGAAAATGCCATTTTGAGTTTTAACATCGGCTACTCGTATGTGGTTATCGGCTCCTCGGTGGAGTCTGACAATTCTACCAAGACACCATTCTTGAGGGGGTAGCAGGTCCTCCTTTACGACCACGAGATCGCCAGCTTCCACATCCTTTTGAGGATATCGCCATTTGTATCGCTTGTGCAACTCGCGCAGATATTCGCTTTTCCATCTTCTGCTAAACTCTTGGTGAAGAACTTTCAATTTCTTCCAGCGGTTTGTTAGGGACGGCGTTTCTATGGAGGTTTCGGGGATGGCGGTCAAGGGTGCTCCACGTATGAAATGACCAGGAGTTAGTACAAGGAGGTCGGTTGGATCTTCTGACATGGGTGATAGTGGGCGAGAGTTTAAAACTGCTTCGATGCGAATGAGTAGGGTAGTGAGCTCTTCAAAAGAGAATTTGTGCGTTCCCGCTACTTTAACAAGATGAGTTTTAAAGCTTTTGACAGCTGATTCCCATAACCCTCCCATATGGGGAGCATACGGGGGGATGAATTGCCAATTTAGACCTTGAATTTGGTATTTCCTCGATATTTCGCTCGATGCTTCTTGAAGAAACCTTTCGAACTCTTTATTCAGAGACCGTTGGGCCCCAATGAAAGTTTTGCCATTGTCGGACATCATTTTTGCAGGTAATCCTCTTCGTCCTACAAATCGGGCGAATGCTGCAAAGAATGCGTCTGTGGATAAGTCGGAGCATAGTTCGAGATGAATGGCTTTCGTTGCAAAGCAGACGAATACGCAGACATAAACTTTATGGTACGGAGAATTGCGGGTGAACGCAGCTTTGACGAAAAATGGTCCAGCGAAGTCTACTCCTGTTGTATTAAAGGGCAGTGAAAATGTTACTCTTTCAGGAGGTAGAGCTACCATAATTTGAGAGCGAACGTTCTGTTTGTGAATAGTGCATACTTTGCAATGGAATATGCACTTTTTTATGAGCGACTTTAACCGAGGAATGAGAAATTCTTGTTGGGTCATGCGAATCATTAGGGATTTCTCCGCATGCAAAAGGGTTGTGTGAAGAAATTTGAGATAGAGTTCACAGAATCGGGAGTTTGCGGGCAATATGGTGGGGTGACGCTCGTTGTAACTTAGAGCGGCCCGGGCCAATCTGCCATTTACACGCATAAGCCCCTGTTTGTCGAGAAATGGATTTAAGGTAAGCAACCGGCTCCTTTTACTTATGGGTTGGGCTCGAGTCAATTGAGAGTATTCATCCGAAAAAAATCGTTGTTGGGCTATGCAAATCAAGCGCGTCTTTGCGGCATTTATTTCATATTGAGTCAACGGGCCAATATCTTGAGATTTTTGTTGGCATTTCTGACTGAAACGAAGCATGTAAGCAATGATGCGAAGCGCTTTTCCAAATGAGGAAAATGCGTCTAAGATATCCTCCTTTTCGGTGATATGGAATGTTTTAAAATTTCGTTGTTCAGGGGGTTGAGTGCTTTGGGGTTGAGAGGTTGGCCAATTACTTGGTGAGTTGCTTAACCATTTTGGGCCGTGCCACCACAGAGATTTAGAGATTAAATCCGGAGGCGGGCAACCGCGAGTGCCTAGATCAGCGGGGTTTTCGGAGGTGCTAACATGCCGCCATGTGGCGTTTTCCACGTTCTTCAGTATTTGAGATACTCGGTTGGCAACAAAAGTTTTCCATACGTAGGGGGGTTTTTTCAGCCACGCAAGTACGATTGATGAGTCGGACCAAAGGAATAATTGTGCTCCTTCTAAATTAAGTTTGGCCCGAACTTGGTGGACGAGTTTGGATACCAGCACAGCTCCGCAGAGTTCCAAGCGTGGCAAGCTGATGGTATGGAGAGGAGCTACTTTGGTTTTCGCAACAAGGAGTTGGCAAGTGACTGGGTTGTTGCCTTTTTGGCAGCATAGATATACACAAGCACAACATGCTTCTTGAGATGCGTCACAGAAACCATGGAGTTGAGTGATAGAGGTTGGCGAGTATCCAATCCATCGCGGAATTTCTATTTTTCCTACGGATTGCAGACTATCCACAAACGTACGCCAAGCATGAAGAGAGTTGGGATTTGCGCATTCATCCCTATCTGTTCCTTCTTTCCAGAGGTTTTGCAGGAGGATTTTCGCTCTAATCATTATAGGCGATAGCCATCCTGCCGGGTCGAAAAGTTTGGCAACCGCTGAAAGGATTTGGCGCTTTGTGGCTGTATATGGAGTAGAGAGAGGGTTGAAAGTGTATGAGAACGAGTCCGAAACTGCGTTCCACTGTATTCCCAATGTTTTTGTCGTACTGGCCTCATGTAATTTTAAAAAGTTTGAATCGAGAAGATTAGTTTGGGGTATTTCTTCGAGAATTCTCGCATTATTGGCAATGATTTTCTTCAGGGGGAATCCTGCTGAATTTAGAGATTTTATTAATTGGTGGAGGGCATTTTGGGCTGTTTTAAGGTCGTGGGCTCCGGAGAAGACATCATCAACATATGTCTCTTCCTTGAGAATTTTACTGCAAAGTGGGTAATCATGTGCAGAGTCTTCGGCCAGTTGGTGGAGAGTTCTAATGGCTAGAAATGGCGCACAATTTACTCCAAAGGTGACCGTTTTGAGTTTATAGTCGCTTATAGGGTTATCAGGTGTTTTACGGAAAACGATTCTTTGAAAGTTTCGGTCGTTTTTGTGGACCAATATCTGCCGATACATTTTTTCTATGTCGCCATTAAATACGAATTCATAGAGTCTCCAATTAATAATCATAATCATGAGGTCTGTTTGGAGAGTGGGACCAGTATAGAGAACGTCGTTGAGCGAATGGCCAGAGCTTGAAGCTCTCGACGCATTGAATACAACCCTAACCTTTGTAGTTCTGCTTTCCGGTCGAAGTACCGCGTGGTGTGGCAGATAAAACGAAAAATATTTACTATTTTCAATAACTTCGCATGGGGTAGTGGGCTCCATATGGTTGAGGGATATGTATTCTTCCAAAACCTCTGAGTATGTGTCCTTTATCTCCTCCTTTTTAGCTAGAGTGCGTTCAATGCTGAGGAACTGGCTTATAGCTGAAAAACGGGAGTGTCCTAAGGCCAGGGATTCTGGGAATTCTTTTTTGAATGGTAGCCGCACTTCATATCGACCGTCTGCTTTTCTGACCGTCGTTTTTGTATAAAAATTTTCACAGTACCGATCTTCCTCCGAGGGTTGAGGGATGTCCAGGACGTCTTCTTGTTCCCAAAATTTCTTTAGGAGGCCGCTTAGGGAGTCATTCGAAGTTTCTTCGACTCTCATCGAAAATGACGCGACTTGGGCTTGAACCGGGCCACTTAAAATCCATCCGAAGATGGTATTTTGTCCCAACAAGCTGTCGCAAAAGTTTTGTAGGCCTGGCACGAATATTTTTGGGGTAAGATCACTGCCAATCACCAGATCTATTTTACCTTGGGTAAAACAAGTGGGATCAGCTAGATCTAAGGATGCGAACTGGGTTAAGTCAACATTTTTTATACTGAATGCCGGAAGAAATTGTGTTAGTTGGGGCA